AATGTTCTAAAGGCAGAACACTCACTCTATGCATATCTTGATGTAGAATCGATGTATAGGAGAAAAACACACACTTAAGTGTAAAGAACAGAGAACTTTCAGAAAATTATTGATGTTAAATGCTATGGGGGTACATAAACAAAAAGCTGCTCATGCAGTGCATTGATTATTTTAGTTAGTTTAATGTTCATGTGAAACAATACCTTGAAGGCAGACAACCAAGAGTGCTGATGACTATGAATCACTTTGCAGAGGCATCAAGAACCAGAAAGAACACATGACTGGCTTTGGAGACAGACAAAGGCTGAGTCCTGCACTGCCACGCACTACCTACTCAAGGCACCAGAACTCTGTAGGCTTCAATCCTTACCACCCCCCACCCCTTCCAATCATGCCAGCTACACGTTGTTAAGCTTACATCCAAAAAGATATATTTCAAAAGAAAAGGTATATAGAATCTCTGGCAAGTTGACTTGAACAAAATAAAAGTTAATATTTTGGATCACTTATCGCTTAAAATTAATTTGTTGATGAACGTGGCTTGTCCTCGTGAGCTTCTCATTTCTCCTGACGAAATAAACCTACTTCTCAACAAGAGAAAGTTGTTAGTTTAGCTGTGAATTTGAGGACATCTTGTTGTTTGTTTGCTTTTTTCTTTTTAATCTTCAAGTAGTTCTCTTTCCTTCTTCAAATTCTTTACTGGAGGTGCCCCAGAACTCCCCAACTGAACTAAGGTCATTGTAGAAAGAGGTCCTACAGTTCCTGAGATGGAAGTAAAGTCATTGTTTCAGGAAGTGAAGAACAAAAATGATGCTTCAGTGACCTATTTAGTGGCCTTTGTTAAGGACTTGTTAAGATGGTGGGCCCGAACAGAAGTAAATGAGGTATACTCATTTGAAACATGCTAAAAAAGTTGTCTCTCTTTAAATAATCTTCAAAGTTGGACTGTGCTTAGTTCAGAGTATGCCAATATGATTCACTGGGTGATAATAATAATTAAGATGTTATATTGGGTATAGTTTATAATACACATAATATATTAGTATAATAGCATGTATAATAACACATGAGATACGCACACACACACACACATATTTTCTAACCAATAGGGTTTTTTGACCAAATATTTGGAATATTCTACACAACTTTTTCTATGGACAGAAAACACAATATCAAAGTAGCATAGTAGTATGAAGGCTATTGAAGTAAGGAATAAATATATACATTGTTAAACTTACTTTTATAGAATAAAAGTGGTCTAATTCTATTAATTTAAGGCTTAAACATATTGGTATTATACTTTGGCATCTCTTAGGAACATCTTCTCCAATAACAAATAATACTTATCTTTTAATATCCACTTTAGTGATACATAAATGTAATTTGCTTTATTTTAATTTTTAAGACAGCTTAAATGTTTTTATCTTGCATTTGTATAGAAAAATGACACTAGTCCCCTTTCAACATTCCTTGAAGCTAGAGAGGAACTAAGGTATTTGAAATCAATTGAAGAAATTTATTTTAGACCTCAATTTTTAATGAAATAACTTTTTTAAAAATGCTCAGCTTATTTCAGCACTGTTACCAGTAGGAAATCCAAAACTCAAATGCTGACAGGTCAGGGCACATTCAGTGCCTCTTTTCCACCAAAATTTGGGTCTATCTGCTGGGTCTGATAAATAAAAATGGTAATTAATCTGAAATAAAGGCTCCATAAAAGGTGGAGTGAGCAAGCATTTACTCCCAGATTATTTGAAAAAGAAGAATGTTATCATTCTAAAATGATGGTAAGAGGAGTAATTAATCTCACCTCCAGCAGAGGGGAAAATGTAAAACTCCCTGACCTTACTACCCACAGAATACTATTTCTACATAGAAGAAGAATAACATTAAGAAAAAAATTCATATCAAGAAAAAACAGTACCTCATACTATTTAATATCTATCACATAATTCAGTTTAATTAGAAAAAGGCAGAAATGGAACAGGCCATCAAAATCTAGAGGTACCTGGAGGCTAATTATAATGTATTTTAGCCTAATTTCGTGTATCCCCTCAGCCAACCTCCAGCCTAACCCTGAGCAGTTTACGTTTTTAATCCACAAATCGATGGTCATTTCAATTTTCATTTTCTGTGATAGAATATGAAGCTTTGATTTACCTAATAAGTAATAAAAAATGTGGCTGCAGGGAGGCTGCATTAAAGAAAGTGTCCATGTGGCCTAGGTCCCACGAAGCAGTGGGCTCATCCTCCAGTGGCAATGAACACAGAAGTAAATGTGGAGTAATTCTACTTACAAATTGGAAAAGTTCAAGGAAATCAAACTTTCTTCTTCTCTCATGATTCTGCTTTCACCTGGAGTGTTTATTCTAAGATTGAGAGACCATGTATATAAAGTAATTTGTTCCATTTTACAATAGGATGAAATCATAATCCCTCATTCACCACATTTTGTGAATATTTGTCCTGAGTTGAAATCAGCAAGTTATGATAATTCAACTTAAAAATATCTCTTAACTGATGAATTTGTCCCTTGGCATCCAAAATCAAGTCACGCTTAGTAAACAAAGACCGAGGCCCAGGCAGTAGGTAGGACAGAGCATTTTACTATGTGTGAGGATTGAAAACTCTACAGAGAACTCCTAAGACCTCTCAAGCCAAAAAGACAAAATGGTTGTGTAATTTGTGATGTACATTCATTACAAAGACTCATGTTAGTATTCTCCGTACTTAGATTGGAGGCATAAGAAGTAATGATTAATTCAGTTTACGTTTGAATATACTGGAAAAGACTCCATGTAAATGGTTAAAAGGAAGGCATTCTCAGGAAGGTGAGAAGCCTATGCTGACTCAAATCCCACTGGTGCCCAAACTGCAGCAAACTGATGCAATTCTCTAAGCGGGTGTGAGGACAAGTTAGAAAAGTGAAGCTTTTTTTTTTTTTTTTACATTTACTAGCATAAAATTGGAAACAACTATTTTTTGAGGAATGAAATATGTTTAGAAAATGGGGAATTGTGGACCAAATTTTCAAGAGGGAAGAAGTTAAAACAAAAGAAAATGGAGGATGAGATGATACTAATGAACTCTAGAAGTTTAAGGAGGGCTGTGCCAGGGACACTGGAGAGAAGAGGAAATGCTGATCTGAAAATTCATAGCCAGTTGGATTAGCAGTGGGGAAATGTTAGTGACTCTGAGCAACCAATGGTGTCCACAGTGCTTGAAACTGGTAGGGGCGCCTGGGTGGCTCTGGTGGTTAAGCAACCATCTGACTCTTGGTTTCGGCTCAGGTCATGATCTCCCAGGGTCATGTGATCCAGCCCAGCCTCGGGCGCACGCTCTCTCTCTCTCAAAAAAAGAAAAAGAACGAATGAACGAATGAAAGAACGAACAAACTGGAAAAGTCTGTGATCTTCTCAGCAATGATAAAATCACTGAACAAGTGTGAAATCTTAAAGAAAATAAATTAAGCAATCGGTTTTTGCTACATTTAACTTCAATTGACAGGACATAAACGAACTCCTTAATAACAATTTCATATAAGCTTGATTTTTTTTTAAAAGGTTTATTTATTTATTTGAGAGAGAGAGAGCACGTGCATGGATGCACAGGCACAAGCAGAGGGAGGGGTGGGGGAGAGAGAGAGAATCTGAAGCAAACCCCACTGAACTCGGAGCCCCATGCGGGGCTTGATCTCACAGCCCTGAGACCATGACTTGAGCCAAAATCAAGAGTTGGACCCTTAACCCACTGAGCCACCCAGGCGCCCCATAAAGTTGATTTTTAAACTCTATTCATTTTTGCCTTGGGCTGTTTTCTGGCTTCTCATATTTTAAATTATGATACATATTTTTTAAATAAGTATTTTAAAAAATAATTGGAAGTTTCTCTGGAGTGGCCTAAGTCAGTTCATTTGGCCTTCTATAAATAATAGACTAAGCACAACCAGGCATAGAGTAGATGGGGATACTATCTCAACCATTTCTCTAGAAAATACCACACCTTCTGGAGTTGTGTTGGTTAGCTATTAGCAGTAACCAGATGGAGAATTATACTGTCTCCCCAGGACGCTAATGGAAATAAGTTATGGGATTTGTCTTTTGGAGTTTTTCCTGCTGAAATATGTTCTAACACAACTTCAAGGGCTAAAATTATCCTGACATTTCAGTATAAAACAGCCAATATGCACTACTGGCTTTAATGTAATTAGGAAAACCCACCTTAATTACTGTATTTAAGCTTTATATTCTTTGCAGTATGCTACGCTACCAAAACGCCTGGAATGTCAAGGCCATGACATACACTGAACTAAGGTTGAAATTCATCCCGTCAGCCTTTACTACAAGGAGGCTTCTGGTTTTGACCTTCACAACACGTGAATGCCTGTCACACAAGAGGTCATGAGGCTAAAAACAAACAGACGGCATGGTCGTGATATTTTAGAATTGGGACACATTTTTCCCCCTTTTCTCATTTCCTTAAAGAGATAGTGGACCAGAGATTTTAAGAATACAGATGACTGTTGAGCATGTATAAATAAGGTTATAAGTTACAGGTTGTTTTTTTTCCTGAGATGTAAACAACACAACAATGTATTTCATTAAGATAATCTAATGTCCTTTGAATTAAGAAAAACAATTCTCCATAAAGTAGCTACATTCTCAATGGGAAAAAGAGCATGAACAACTTTCCTGGTGGTTTTAAATAAAATTATTTTTTTATAGATTTTATTTATTTATTTGGGGGGGCAGGGGCAGAGGGAGAGGAAGAGAATCCCTACTGTGGGGCTCCATCCCAGGACCCTGAGATCATGACCTGAGCCAAAACCAAGAGTCGGACTTTCAACCAACTGAGCCACCCAGGCTCTCCTAAAGAAAATTCTATGTTACAGTTATTTAAAGAACACAACTATTAAAAATGTAGTTTATATATAATCAGGTAGTATAATATGCATAGAGTCTCACATTTGATTATCTCCTATAAAATAATTTTTTTGATAGATTTTGACAAAGGGAACAGTACAAATGGTCCTGAAGACTCTGTAGATACCATAAGACACTATCAGAGTTCCAAGAAGCACTTTGAAGAGAAAAAAAGCAGATCTTCATCTTTCATCTCCTCCATTGATGATGAACAAAAGCCTCTCTTCTCAGGAATAGTAGATTCTCCTGCAGGAATGGGGAAAGCAGCTGGACTCAATTTTGAAGGAACAGTGCCCACCTCAGGAAGAATTCACATAGATAAGAGAAGTCACTCTTGCAAAGGTAATCAAGTTTCTCAGGAATCAGATGGTCTCCCTTTGGTGCTAATTGTAAAATGGCGACTTTTCACAAATGAAGAACCGTATTCACACATGTTAATTTAATCTTTTTACAACTTCCTAAAATATTTGCAGAGTTCAGATCTCAGATCATCTACAAAGCGTTTGTGCAAATCTGGAATAGTGTTAATTATTCCTAAACATTGATAGCGTAAGAGGTTTTTGTGGTAGTGAGATTTAGCATAATGCCACATAGAACACTGTGGGAAGGCCTACTGTAGTGATTCCGACAGGGAGCGGGGATCAATGTGTATTTTAAGAGAGCTAACCTGTTGCTTCTTATATGTACCCTCTGTACTCACTTGTCACCCCCAACCCAGTCATTTTCTAGCATGAAAGGCCAATGCAGTAACGCTATAATCAACACCGAAAAGAATTTCAGTTAACTGGGAATTATGAACAAATGGGGAGAAATGCCCCTAAATAAATTATGCTCTTTATCCAACTCATTTAAACACACTTGTTTAACATCTCTATGAGAAGGAATATCCAAATATATGGGTTTTATTGTAGAAAAGATGCATGAGATGGATGATCGTGTTTGATTAATGTATGCAAATTTGGTCTAATGGATGGGAAATAGGAAAAGTTAAGAACTATCACGTGGAGGAACAATTAACTTAGCATAACAGACCTACAGATCTCGTTAAATCTAACCAGTAGGTGGGGGCAAGAACAGGTGTGGGTCAGACTGCTTGGGTTCCAACCCCAGCTCCATTTATTTCTTTGCTTGGCTCACTTGCTCCCTTTATGTCTTTGAATAAGTAACTTGACAAACCCCACTAAGGCTCAGCTTGCTCATCTTTCAAATAGAATAATATGTTCTAACCAACTAAATGATTGTAATTATTGAACAAGATAACATGCATAAATTACTTTCTCTGAAATAAAATCCCTAACTCAGTTTAGTAGTTTCTCATAGATTTTATTTTGTAAACTTTTAATCATTGATTGTATATATAAAATACACATATACAAATGGATATATAAAAATGTAGAGGTAAAGAATGCATAGCCGGGGCGCCTGGGTGGCTCAGTCGGTTAAGCGGCTGCCTTCGGCTCAGGTCATGATCCCAGAGTCCTGGGATCGAGCCCTGTGTCAGGGTCCCTGCTCGGTGGAGAGCCTGCTTCTCCCTCTCCCTCTGCCTGCCGCTCTGCCTACTTGTGCTCTCTCTCTATCTCTGTTAAATAAATAAATAAAAATCTTAAAAAAAAAAAAAAGAATGCATAGCCAAAAAAATCAGAAGAATATAACAGAAATAAAGGGAAAACAGTCTTGGCCTGGCAGGATAGCAAAATTATGGCACAGAGTAAATAAATATTACCTATCATCATCACCATTATTTGAAGTGACTATATCTGACAACAGTAGTTTTATTGAATCTAGGATGTTTGGGCTTCACATTTTTCCAGAGTTACTTTCCCTATCATATCAAATCAGCTTTTGCCATGACCCCATGTTGAAGTAAGTTAAGAATATATGCAAATGTTCTCTGGACAATTTAAAATCTTGATGAAGTGAATGAAAATAGTACCTCATTTATCACAATGGAAGAATGGAATATTAGATGTGATTACCAAATGTCTCATTTTAGTTATTTATGAAATCAGATTCTGGGAAGTACTAAAAATAGGAAAAGGTTGTATCATCGAAGTCAGAAGTTCAGAAGAGCTCACTGAACCATCTCTACTTCTCCCAAAGTCAGCAGAATGTGGACCTGGTTTTTCAAAAAGTAATTTTTGTTTTCTTCTTGAGTTTTAGAGACTCCAGTGACAAGTCATTAAAGATGTATTTTTGGGACTTTATTTGACTTTATAATGACTTGCTGACAGTGAGTTCTCGTGCCCTTCATCTTGTATTTTTCTTGGCCGCTTCTTCCAATTATTTTTAATTAGCTAGCCTATGTGCAGGATAAAAAATTCTAACAAATAATTTTAGTATCTACAAATTTTTAATTTTCAAAAAATGTACAAGTGAGTCCCTATTCAAATAATAAATCCTTACCTTGAATGAAAATGCATAGCTAAAGATTCATGTCAGTTGAATAAAATAATTGATATCATATAGCATTGACCAGTGTGACACATGGTTAACCTGGTTAATTAATTTGACCAACTAATGGAGAATTCTAAAACTTCATTCACTGCAAATTTTACCCCTTACTGATTTTTTAAGGTGAAGTATTATGGGATGTCCAAGAAATTGAGTACTGTGTAGGGTGCAGCTCCAGCCACTGTAGTGTGAACTACTAAATCCCCACAAATTTTAGTTTTTGTCAATAGGAAATTTCCTTTACTCACAGTCCTGCACTTGTCATGCTGAATCCAACAGAAGAGCACCCTTTTGGCAAAACTGAAAAGAAAAAAAAAAAACAAATTAAGTGGATTCTGATCCGACTTAGTTTGAGGTCAAAAGTTAACTCTAGAAAAAATGTATACCCAGAGCAAAGTGAAAGTTTACTTTCTGCTCATCCATTTCCAGAAATGTGTCTTGCAACTATAGCAACATTTTCCAAGGCAACCGAGTACAGATTCCTTCTGAGCTATATTTAGAAAGTGTCTACAAGGATGTTCATTTTGATTAAGACCACCAACCAGGATTTCCCCCTTTGAAATTTTTTCTTCTATATTGCTGTTAAAACAAGCCAATCATGCATATCCAGACTTTAATAAAAAAAAAAGTAAATTATAATCTAGGAAGCTTCTGTCTAATAGTTTACATTTTATTCTTTTCTGCTGAGAAGATAATCAGCTTTTTTCTTGAGCGGTAAAAAGAAAAATATAATCCTACGTAATTTATTGCATGTGATTCACCATTGTTATTTAAAAATTAATTTATAATATATGATTTGCGAATGGGAGAGCTGTTAAGCATAGGCAGAAATTCTGTAACCTTTCTTGGCACAAAACTTCTGAGCATAATATGTAACTTCCATCTTATCAGTTCTTACTATCTTTTCTAAAGGTTCCTACAGTACCGGGCTAGCAGGTGGCTAGACACGGACTAGCACTGGCATCACCAAACCATTGTATGTGTATTCTAAATGTTTGGCATTGCTGCTCCAAAATTGAATACTAAGACATTATATTATTGTTTTTCATTTTAAATGGCGTTACAAGTCTATGAATAGTAAATCATACTTTTCAGTGAAAATCTGCTGATATATTACTGAAACCTTCAGCAATATCATTTTTCTATGTTCATTTTCATTTTGTTTTGCTTGGTAAAATCAAAAGCAATTATACTCTGTCCTTTTAAAAAACAAAACAAAACACCAGGATCCCACAGGCTAAGGAAGCCTTAATCACAAAGAATCATTCTGGAATTCATAACGAGCCCTATGAGATCTGTTAGCCATTTCAGCAGAACAAGGAACCCTGACCTTCCATATTTGGAGATGCTAATTCCTTTGGTACTGCTTCACCCAACTGAAGGGGCAATTGTAGGCACCTTAGAGAAATTTCCATGTATTCAATGGTAAAGAGATAATGATAGAAGAACAAATACAGAGATTTTCTCTACTCCTTGAAGAAAGGGGATGCTTTTGAGCTCTCTGACTGTACTTTTGGAGAAACTGCAGGAAGGGAACGGACTGCAAAAAGCCTGCAAATGCTGCTCCCTATTTCTAGAATCATACTTAATCTTCCCAAATCGGTTACTTTCTACCCAATTTTTTTAAATAGCTGAGGATATAAATTCCTTAACTTTACATAACTTTTGTCAGTGTTTAATCATAGCTAGCGTCCAAAAAAAAAGAAAAAGAAAAAGAAAGGGAAAGGAAAAGAAAAAAGTAAAAAAAACTTTTCTATCAAACCCAAATCACTTTCTGTAATTCAAATCTATTTCCATGTGAAAATGAAGACCAGTTTTAGATACTCTTTTCCTCCTACCAGCCCTCCCAGTGAGGAGAAGATACCACTTCTTTATCTCTGAAATAAACTCCCAACTCCATTAGTTTTTTTTCTAGAGTTTTATTTTCCAAACCTTTAATCATTTTAAGCTCTTATGTGAATATGTAAAATGTGGAGGATAAGAAAGCAGAGCAAAAGCCATCGAGGCGTATGACAAAAATGAGAGGAAAATATAAGGTACTATATTTGCCCTCTGACATTGATAACTTGCAAATATGGATTGTAAGAGAAGCCATAAATTAAAAGGAGATTCGTCAGGAGTATGAGAAACGATCAGAACCTTGTTACCAGATTCTTCAGGTGTAGGGCCTGGGTCTTCTTTGCCTTTAATTCCTCCACATTCAGCAGAGTGTCTAGCACATAACAGACACTCAGAGCCTTTGAAAAGTGGACTTGAACAGATAAGCAGAATGTTTAAAGTATAGAGACATAAAAATATTCTAAGTAAAAGAGCCACAAGAAAGCTTATTGGAAATTGATGCAAATATATTAAAAGATAGTGCAGAAGGAGCTACAAGGAAAGATAAAAACACAGAATAGTGTCATGGGCCTACAGGACTTTTAACACCCTGGCCATCTTTGATGGCTCTACTTTGAGTTGGGTTGGCCTTAAGAGAAGCCCCTGAAGATCTGAACTTTTCCATGGCTCTCTCCTTGGGCCCACTCTGAATCACAAATGATGCTAATTATCCTGGGAGAAGAGCCCCCAAAATCTTCAATCCAAGGCGAAGCTGTATAGCCTTGCCTCAGAGGTATTGCAGGGTCAGTTCCAGACTACTGCAAAAAAAGTTAATATCACAATAAAATGAGTCAAATTTGTTTCTTTGTTCACATTGTACTGTAGTCTATTAAATGTGCCATAGCATTATGTCTTTAAAATCAATGTACAATACCCTCATTTAAAAATACTGTATTGCTAAAACATGCTGACCATTATCTGAGCTTTCAGGGAGTTGTCACTCATCATAGATCACCATAACAAATATAATAATGAAGAAGTTTGAAATATTGCAAGAATTACCAAAATGTGACACAGAGACGTGAAGTGAGCAAATGCTGTTGGAAACATGATGCGCATAGACTTGCTCATCACTGGACTGCCACAAACTTTTGATCTGTAAAAACCGGTATCAGGAGAAGGCTCCCTAGCTCAGGGGTCAGAACACTGGTCATATAAAAACCGCTATCTGTGAGGTGCAACAAAGGCAGGAGCAATAACATGAGGTATGCCTATAGGAGCAAAATATGCTTCTTGTATTCCTTCCCAAATACAAAAGCGCAAAATCACTGCTCTCTAATCAGAGACAAAATCGTATTCGAAACTCACGACCATCCCTATGTCTTTTTCATGTGGAAATGGACAGTGGAGGTGGCAGGCAGGGTGAGGAAGGTAGGGCTCAGCTACCTATTGGTGGAGGCCTCTGGACAGGTCCTTGAATCACCCTGGCTCTCTGTCTGTGGGGTTATACTCTGAGATCCTTTCCTGTTTATCTTGTAGATGTCTCCATGTATTGATGTGAAGGGGCACCCAAAGAAGTTGACGTCCATCTTGCTATTTCCCACAGATATCGCTGACGCAAGAAGCTGGGAACAAGAAAATGCACAGACTCAGGCTGATGAGTCTAGTCCCTCAGCACTCCAGCGAGCTGCCTGGGGGATCTCTGAAACCGAAAGTGACCTCACTTACGGGGAAGTGGAGCAAAGATTAGATTTGCTTCAAGAACAACTTAACAGGTATAAACAATGGCAAGGCAAGGGGAGAGCATCACCCAGGCCCTTGGTTGGGTCTAGGTTTTCCCCTTGCAACTTGCAAATTCCTACTACCATAATCTCGTATTTTTTTACATATGCTTACTCATTTAAAATAAGACTAAAAATTGACAGAATTATTAATCTGTGTTGCAAGGAGCATTTATTTAGAAACTTCATGCTTCTGGCAACATAAATCCTATTTTTGCCTTACTTGTCATAAAATTAGTATATCACCCACACCAGCTGCTGAAGAAAACTCCTTTTTCCTCAAAATAATTCATATTTAGCTTGTTTACTAACACCCTCTTTAAATCCTGCTTTTACACTTTTTGGTTGTTTCTGGTAACTTAGTTATGTGTTATGGCATTTTTTAAAATATAGACAAAATTATTTAAACATTTATTCAGTCAACTTCTCAAAAATGTGATTGAATTAGAAATACCACAGAGTTGAAGCCCAGGTCTTCTCCATTTGCCCTCCATCTTTGATCTATACCCTTTGGAGATGAGGAATAAATTTTTATTTTAGAGAGGATGGAATTCCTTAACCCAACTCTGTGTGGATTTCTTAAAATTAAACTGGTCGATAAGACTCAGGGAAAAAAAATCCACGAATGAGTGTGACATAGCTGCGTGAGTTGTGCTCCATGTGGGAACTGACCTGGATTCAAAGGTAGCCTCCGGGTACACCAGCAGGCAAGGCAGTGGTCACAGACAGAAAACTTAACCAATTAAACTAAAATGCTCAAATCACACAGTTTACTAAATCAATGTAAAACATACAATGAGAGATGAGGAGAGCGAGGAGAGGTAATTAACACATTTCTAATAAATGCAAGCATGGTATAAAAGAAGCCCGCTACAGCTGAATCCCGATTGATGCAACGTTGGTACATGGTGCGTCATCCTGCCCTGAGGTGTGGTTACTAGGACCAGACAGAGTTGAGGTTTGCACAGAGGAGTCCGCAGACAAAAAATCTGTCTATCCCAATGGCACACACTTGCTTTTTCACAGAGATGTAAGGCTGGGTACACCTGGTCACAGCTGTGGTTCTCCATTTACTCTGCTGAACAGCCATAGGTTTTATTTGCTTTTTGGTAGGTAAAAAACAGGTAGAGCCAGAATGAGCCTCTGCTGTGTGTCACCACTGGATGGCCAAACTGGGGGAGGGGGCAGTTTTCTGTCCAGAGATGACATGAGAATAATTTGTTCTTTCTGTCTCTATCTGTAGAGGCCACACTCTGGTTTGTTACATCCCATTTCTATTCTACCTTTGGCATGTCTTACAGGTTACTAGCATGCTGTCTGTATAGAAGACATCTTAGGAATTCTGTCCATGTCTAGCAAGCTACTTGCTTACTCATTATCTATACTTAACACATCCCAGGAGTTTTGCCTATACCACATAAGCTGCTAGTTTACTTACTATTTGCTTAATGTTTCTTATGTGCTTTATCCATGCTGCTTATTGTTCTTATTGTTTTCTTAAATGTTTCTGCCAGAAATGAACAGTGTCAAACAATACAGTAAGCACATCAAAGTGTGCATACACACACATATGCATTGCCATGAAAAGTTAATTAGGAATTAAAACAGACAAATAGAATTAGAAAATCGACAGATTTGTAAATTAAAATAAATTTGTTAATGTCAAACAAAAGTAGGAAAATATTGCATGAACTAAAGATTTATTTTGTATTTTATCTTTTCATGGATTTTAATTGAATTTAAAATCTCCTGGTGCTAAGGCCCATTCCCAAATTTTAAATGCAGGTCTTCTCAAATTGAAACATATCTGAGAACATTAAAACAGCCATCATTTACTTAGAGTCAGTAATCCCTAATTCAAGGATAAGAACTTGCCATTGTAATACTTACTATTGGTCAGAGGAACCTAGTTAGTTGCTTAATTGATACATTTGCTGTTTTACTCTCCCTGCTGCTTATGCCAAGTCACACTGATCCTTTAGCCACAACATATATAAAACTGTATACTGGGGCGCCCGGGTGGCTCAGTCAGTTAAGTGGCTGTGTTCGGCTCAGGTCAGGATCCCGGGGTCCTGGGATCAAGTCCTGGGGGGCCTGCTTCTCCCCATCCCTCTGCCTGCCACTCCCCCTGCTTGTGCTCTCTCTCTCTGTTAAATAAATAAATAAATTCTCTAAAAAAAATTAAAATTAAAAAAATAAAACTGTATACTCTACACACATAAGAATTGATATGTGTGATCTCTGAACTTGAATTCTTTGATTCCTGTGACTTAGAGAAAGTAACTGCCCATTTCTTGACTGTCAGGGCATAGCATGTGTTCAATTTGTTGAGGAGCTATAAAAGTGAGTGGGTGAATGGGTGAATGACATTCTTTAGCAAAATACTCGCAGGTAGCCTAGATTAAAGTCATAACTCTGCTACTTAGCTATGAACAGGATGACTGGGTCAAGTCATTTAAGCTTCTCTAGCCTCAGTTTCTATCTTTGACTCATCCACACCTGCAACGGTGTTTAAGGACTAAGATATGATATATGGAAACGATATACGCTCAAAATGGAGGCTGCTGTCCTAGCAACTGGGTCAAGTCTGACGGGCAATGAAGTTTACTTCTGTTATTGGTGTTCCTCCTACTTTACATGTACTTCCTTTAGTCCTTTCTTCCGGACTAAAATTAAGATTTTAGGATCCCTTTGTTGCCTTGTCAGGGGTACCAATCATTGCTGCCAGGATAAGTCAAAGATTAGTGAAAACATAAGTTTTCCATAGGTCCGAGGACTGTAAGTGTAAACTCTTAAGGGCACACATATCTAGGACTATATGATTTGCAATTGCCCATTCGTAATAATACTTATCATTGCTATTTGATTAGATTAGTTTTATTATTATATGAAACTTTTCCTCTCAAAAGTACTATTTAATCTCTCTTGACATCTCTTTTGACATCGTCCCAGCATCTGTATGTGCCTTGACATACTTCTCACTTTGACTTACTTCTGTTTATCTCCAGTTTTATCACAAACATTTTATGTCCTAACTCAGCTTAGCATCTTTTGGATTGAAAATCCATTATATTACATGTTTACAGCACTGACATCTCCAACAAACATCTTTCCTCCACTTCACTTCAGAAGGCAAAAGCGTAGAGAACAAGTTTGAAGAAGACAACTCAATTCAAACTTGGACTTTGTGGAGTGAGAATCCCGGGACATTTCCTAGATATCCGTCTGTCCTATTTAGTTTCCGCATTCTTTTCAAATGTAGAACTGTGAATCACAACTCCATTTCTCTCATTCAAAAACTCATATTAAGTACACAATGCAATAAAAACAGGGGCACCTGGGTGGCTCAGTTAAGCATCTGCCTTCAGCTCAGGTCATGATCCCAGAGTGCCGGGATCGAGCCCCACATCGGGCTCCCTGCTCAATGGGAAGTCTGCTTCTCCCTCTGCTCCTCACCCTGCTCTCTCTCTCATCCTCTCTGTCACTCTCGCTCTATGTCAAATTAAAAAAAAAAAAAAAACAGGGGCGCCTGGGTGGCTCAGTTGTTAAGCGTCTGCCTTCGGCTCAGGTCATGATCCCAGGGCTCTGGGATCGAGTCCCATGTTGAGATCCCTGCTCCGCGGGGAGCCGGCTTCTCCCTCTCCAACCCCACTCAAGCTCTCTCTCACTATCTCTCTCTCTCAAATAAATAAAATCTTAAAAAAAAAACAGCTAGTAAATGTTCTATCTTGAGTCAATTTCACTGTTGCTGTTTTTTGGCTTTAATGACCAGCTAAACTATATGTATGGGTAAAGGTTTACATAAGAAGGGTTCTTATATATTTATATATTATGCCTACAGCTATACATATTTAGGGAAATCATTAACACTTGGTCTTAAAACAGAGCTTCTCAAACTTTAATGTGCATCAGAATCACCTGGGGATCTTGTTAAAAATGCAGATTCTAAGGTCTGTGATTTTAACATTTTTGGTAAGATTTACCTTCCCTTTACATCTTTCATTCAGAAACAAAATAGCACAAATAAGTGAAGAGTTAAGGTTTTCTAAAGAGGCATATGGTACTAATTTTCTGTTCTTATGCCCACAAAATTCCCTTTTTGAAAATGCTGTTAACACATGCAAAAATAAGTGGGGGGGGGGGAGTTAGTCCTATTGTATCTTGCTATTTTCCTTTGAATTTTAATTTAAAATGAGAATGAAATTGACAGGCCAGTTGGCTCTTTGTGAGATTGGGGGGGGAAAATCATCAGACTGGCATTTTGCAAGCCAGATGGGTCAGAGAAGCAAGTGAACTTGTACATTTGGTCTATTTCTTAAATACCAAAGACCTGGAATTATACATGAGAAAGGAATGGAAAAGGCATTTAGCATCCAAGAGCACTTAATGATAAAGCATCTAACAGCATTAAAGGAATAACAGGCAATACTGTGAATAGGAGAGAGGCAGGGTAAAATAAAGGTAACGTAAATTTTAAACACATAAGAAATTACTTGACTGCTACAGCCATGAAAGAAATGTGCTACCAAATCCATTTTTAAAGAGGAAATAAAATGCTCACAAGGAAAAGCAAATTACTGATTAAAAATAGAGTCTCAATGTGCTTTACATTTGAAATCAATAAAAATTAGTAAAAATGTAGCCTATTTCGATTTAGCTGCTTTTCTGCGAAGATCTTGTGAAACGAGGAGGAAAGCAATGGTGTTTATCAGAACCATTAGTGGGACATAGAAAGTAAGCATCAGCCAGGAGAGAATCTCTGTGCTCCCTCTCCTGTCCTTCTTGTTTAAAGCAGGGCCACAATTCTGTTGGTTGGTGGTGCTGAAATTTTCTCAAATGCTTTGCAATCCTGGACTATTTTAGGATTGTCTTCCCCCATTTGTGTCTGTCCTGCAGACTTGAATCCCAAATGACTGCTGACATCCAGACCATCCTACAGTTGCTGCAGAAACAAACCACCGTGGTCCCCCCAGCCTACAGTATGGTAACTGCTGGAGCCGAGTATCAGAGGCCCATCATCCGCCTGATGAGAACCACCCATCCCGCAGCATCCATCAAGACAGACCGAAGTTTCAGTCCTTCCTCACAAGTGAGTGTAGATAGTGTACAACAAAGAGTATCTCTCTAGGGGTGTTTCTGGGGACCATCTGAGTCAGAATCGTCTGCAGTGCTATGGAAATGAAGTTTCTCATCCCCATCTGTTTCTGCTCAATTAAAATTGCTGGGAATAGCCCCTGTAATCTGCATTTAAACCAGCTACACACTGATTCTTATGTTCAAGTTCGAGAACAGTGGACCTAGAAGAATGATTTTAAAACATTAGCAATTTTTTTTGTAAGAAAACATTCTTTTCAAGAATCAATCTGCTTAAGTTTATATATGGTAGAGCTTTGAAAACTGATAGCCCAGGGTCCAAAAAGCGCTTCAGAGAAAGGTCTGTCATTTGCTCTGGTGACAAGAGGCACTCTTGGGCAGGGTCTCTGGAAGGGGGGGGGGGGGGGGGGGGGTGGAGGAGAAACATCAGCTGTCCAAAGACCTGAGTTTCCAGAGCCAAAAGACTAGTAATCTCATTTGTGCCCCACCCATCACCAGAGATCTCTAAACTTTTCTCATCTCCATCATGGTAAGAGGAGGAATATTAAGGTGTCCTTCATCTTGCCTCTGAAGACTTCTAAGGCCTTTTGAATTATGTTAATATGAAAAGTCTAACTCCCTTGGAATTCCACTTAGGAAATTATTCTTATTTACTTAAGCCCAGTAGCCAAATTGGACCTAAGAAAAGTGGACCCAAGAGCAAGGATTTCCTGAGCAATCTTGTAAACTTTTTTAGAAGTTTGGAAATTTAGTGCAAAATGTTCTGGGAAATGAAACATTAATAACGGGGAAATGTGCAGAAGGAAGACACTGAAATCTTTCTGAAATATGAAAGTAGAAATTTAATTTATCCCTAACTAATTTCCAGTGTCTCAGATCTTGCAAAACCATGTACTTTGTTTTCAGTGGATTTAAGTAATAGTTTCTGACCAAGGATGAGTGATAGTTCTTCAGGGTTTTTTTTTTTTTTCTGTCCTCTTTACACTGTTTACTCACCAAATGACTCATGTTTCTGATTCCAGTTGTCTCTAATTAAAATTAATTTATTTTTGAATTAAAACTCATCTGGAAAACTCAATGTTAAAATAATGTGTGTGTGTGTGTGTGTGTGTGTGTGTTTATTTTTTAAGAAGACTATGATCTGGCTTCAGAGTAAAATTAAAGTTCTTAGAATGGTTGTTTAGGACAAATTGATGCCCATCCCCCAATGCCTTGACCCATCTTTGGGAAGGAAAGTTTCGTTAATATCACTAATCAAATGTAGATTAATGGGGAAATAAAATGTATTTAGATTTCATGAGTATAATTTTAGAAATCTGTCCAAATTATAAAAAAAATGTTTTCTTATCTTTCTCTCAGTGTCCTGAATTTCTAGACCTTGAAAAATCTAAACTTAAATCCAAAGAATCCCTCTCAAGTGGGGTGCATCTGAACACAGCTTCCGAAGACAACTTGACTTCACTTTTAAAACAAGACAGTGATCTCTCTTTAGAGCTTCACCCACGGCAAAGAAAAACTTACCTTCATCCAGTTAGGCATCCTTCTTTGACAGATTCATCCCTAAGCACTGTAGGAATCTTGGGTCTTCATAGGCATGTTTCTGATCCTGGTCTTCCGGGGAAATAATCATTTTGTACTATTTACTCCACATACAATGTAAGTGCTTTTAATGGCTGTTTTCCTTTTTTATGTATTTAAATCCTCTCTACTTGACTCAGGGGCTCACAAGGTACCATTATATGCAAAAGTACTGTATATTTTCCTAAATTGAAGCTTGTAAGGTAAAATTGAGCAATTAGGATGTAAATATACATATGAACTCTTTTGTTCCAAATGTTAAAACTGCCAGCATCTCAAGGCATCTTATTATTATTATTTTTTAAATCATGTGCATGTTAGGAAACTCCAATTTCTCTTGCATGGAGACTCCTACTTACTACTTTTACTACCCCAGTATTTTGTTATGAAAATGCCTTCCAAGCAAGTAAGAAACCAAGGAATAACATTGTTCATGGATGCAAATCAGGTGATCCTCAACTCATGGAAGTTCCAGGAGGAGAAAGGGAACTTAGTCATTTTGAGAACAGATAGATACCCTTCTGTATTGAGATGTTTACAGTTAATTACAATCATTTCACCACACCGGAAAAAAAAAAGTTCTAAAAAAGTTCTAAATCTCTGATCGTGTAGGGAGCCATCTCCAAATACATGAATATAGGCCAGCTTTAATGAGGACAAAAGGCCTTTCTATTTAAAATTCTGTCTCTAACTTCATTTACAAACTACCTAAAATATTTCTCACTGGCACATTTCCTTGAACATTTAGAAACAAGTTTTTTCTCATTTTTCTTTCTTTTTTTTGAGGGAGGAGGGAGTCTTAAGCATGACTGACACAAGCTGATATCCAGAGCTTTCCTCTGATTCATATTTTAGGGCAATCCTGAACTGGATCAAAAGAGTGGACGCACAGAGTTCTTTTTAAAAAATGTGCAACTTAGTGGATGTGCATGGCAAAACTAGCTTCCATTAAGTATATGTTGTTCCATGGTTTTCTTATCCCAGCTGTGGAAAAACAATGTGTTTTTACCTGCCTGTAAAGGAAATGAACACACCAGCAGTAACATTTCAGTTTCGTTCAGTTAGTCAAACACATTTCCTAATCAAAGATTAAATGAAAATGTATTATTTATGGATTGGGCCGAATATATATGGACCCCAGAATATCAGAACGTACAACGGAATATATTTTAATATCCTTAACTGTTAGATTTTTTTGGAAGGAGGAGCATATGCCTCTCATAAAAATCAGGGTATGGAAAAAAATTGCAAGTTAAGAATCTGATTAGTCAATTTTTAGTCGTTTTATTTCTCAATTCATTTGAGTACAATTTTAAACTTATTAGGGACTGATCCATTATACCCTTTCCTTCTGAACAAAATTTTGAAATTTCTGCAAGTTTCTTCATTCTTTAATGATTCTTATACCCACATGTATTTTTAAAGAAATAATATATCCGTGCACATTATTAAATGGATTAATTTCTATCCCTCCAGGATAGAAATGTAATCTATTGACTTACCTTTACCTTTGACACTATTAGTTTCAAATACAAGCAATTCATTTAAATTTACAAAGCTATTGCACTATTTAAAACATGATTAAAGTGACCTTAAGTTGCTCCCTATATATTTTTAAATGATTACATGTGTGGGAGGCAATCTGTAGTCATGAGCAAATTCATATCCCTGCTAAGTGTTTGAAAAAAATAAAACAAGTACATATGGCAAAATGACCAGTCCATTCAATAAAAAACCGAACAAGTTCAACTAGCTTCTCAAACCATTTGGTGTTAATGCAGATACAAATTTCGGGACTAAATGATGCTGTCCTTTCTTCATTCAGCAAACATTTATGGGTGCCTAGCAGGGGGGAAGAAATGGCTAACTTTGATTCAGAGGACTATTTAGGGATTTTATGTCCATATTTAGGCACATTTTTGCAGCCACAACAAATTTCATAAGGATTGCCAGCCTCAGCTTCAGGGAAATTCAGAATGAATTTACCAGAGACCGTACATGATTTGTAGGGAGTGAGGATTTGGCAGGTGAGGCATTTAGATCTGTTGGGTTAGTGAATGCTTCAGCTGCAACACTGGTATGACATGCGTAAAATTCAGCCTTCCACATAAAGCTTCTATACGTCTTTATAAAAACTGAGCATGAAGGAATGGGAAGATGGGGAATAGTGTACCAGCATCCCGCTTGTTTAAATTCTAGCATAACACAAACTGTCTTCCTTTGAATTCCTTGACATAAAAAAATCACTTGATATTATAATCTAAGTCTCGGAGAATTGGACAGGATTAAGAAAGTCCCCTCTTATAGGATATCAGCTTAACAAGAACCTGAACAATATAAAGATGTGGTTAGTTAGGCAGAAATGTCAGAGGCTCAATGGTTAAAACTTTGAGAATCATCAAGGTAGATGGGCCTCAGGATGAGTTCTTTCATTAATAGCTGTGTGACCCTGACCAATTTAATTAACATCCCTGAGTCCTTTCCTGAATTTGTAAAAATGAGATAATGGTACCTGCCTCAAAGAAGCTTAAGAAATAAGATAACGTATAGTAAAGTGCCTGGCACATAGTAGGTGCCCCCAAAACTCTATAGATTTTTTTTCACCTAAGAACATATCAAAAACAATCAGGAAAACAATTTTCCACAATTTAGCTTCTACATAATGTGCTATGTCTCCAGCTAAAGAGCCGTTACCAAGACTGAAGTTTTTGATTCAGAAACGGCAAGTGTAGCTATTGTTTTCTCTAATTGTGTTTTGCACTATTAGGTTTATAGCTTTAAAGTAATATTTATAATAAAAGTGAGAGTATGAATGTCATTGTTACAAACCTATCTACCCCAAGTCAATGTTAAATGACAGGTATGTAAGGTGATCTGTTGAATTGGGTACAAGTAGAACATGGGCTGTAAAGACCGGCTCTCCAGGGAAGACCCTCTTTAGATCCACAATATAGTTCCCACATGGATATTTGAAAATGCATTTTTGAAATACGCTTTTGAAATAACACTATTTTTTCAGAAAATAGAATTTATAGTTGTGGTTCTTTGCAGGCATCTAGGCCCACTCCGTCATGCACAGATATGTTAACAGACACAGTCCAGTGTTCAGTGGCAGAAAAGGCAAAGAGACTTGGTGTGGTAGACCTGAATTAAAATCCTACCTGCTGCACTTACTTTCAAGACAAACCCTCAGTGAGCCCCAGGAGCCCAAACTGTAGAGGCACTGTCTTAAATATCCTGAGGGGTCTTGAGGAGCCTCTGAAGTATATATGTGGAAGGGCTTCATAAGCCATAAAGCACCATGTAACTGGTAAGCTCCTTAGGTGCCTTGTGCATCATCACAATACAGTGTCATGCCGGTGGAAACACTATAGCACGACCTAGGTCTTCTGAAAACCTTCCATGGTTCTTTCCCCTACCCAACACTGACAGCATTTCCACTCTGTAACAAAAATGTCTACCGTGATTCTCACAGGGCTCTCAAAGATCCCTGTAGTCAGAGTAGATCCCCAGTGCGAGGGAAGCGTCCTGTCGTAGCATCCCAGGATTTGTCCAACACCCATAGCATTATGTATTTGCATCGCAGTTGTCTTCTACGTAGGCAATGGCTTCGCCTCCCTCCTCACTTCCTAAGTGTTCTCGTTCAAAGCGATATTCTCTGGCTTCCACTTAACTTACAAGGAAGTGAACATTTTAAAAACTAAGAAGATGTTTTAAAATACTTTATAAAATATTCCTTGTTGTGGTTGATCAGTGCCTGAGCTTAGGATAATTCATTACATGTTCTGTGGTACAAATACACTTTGCTCTAGGAATATGCAATACAGAAAAGAAAATTCACAGGAAGACATGAATTATTAATAATTGATGACATGAAAAGAAAGTATCACAAAGCTTATTTATATAAACTATTAAGTGGAGGTTGAGAGAGACGACTAACAAGAAGTCATCTAAAACTAATACATTATTATTATGAACAGACGGACAAAACATTGATAGGAATGCAATGTTAAGAACACAGAACCATACAATCAATTGACCAATTTCATTGTTCTACCAGTCATAATCAAACTTTTAAATGAGAGTAGCAAGTATTATAGAAATGCTCTCAATAAAATACTTTTATTATGAGAAGTGGCAAAATTAACATGGTTACTCTTGAAGAGCTAATGTCAAAACTAAGTTGAATTCCTAAATTGTAGTCATGACGTTTGTGACTTCCATTAGTTAATTTAAAAGATACAACATAATTTGGTACACTTATGGTTTTAAAGCACTATATGTTTAACCTTTATTTTTGGTACTTCCCTTGTGTGTACTGCTTTTAAATTGAAAATAATCACACCTGTTAGTATTTAAACCATATCTTTTTTTGTACTGTCACTATATACATTATATACATATATTAAGTATGTATTAAGTATTTTGAATACATGTAAGAAAATTCCACACCATTCCATCATCCTTATTTAGGAGTAAAATTCAAGGATCAGTAATCTTATAATTACCTCCTCCAAGTGTCTTCAAAATGCCTCTATAATTACAGCGTTGAAATTATATGCTACACTTTTTCCCAAATATTAAAAAAAATAATAAAAATACTGAGGAATCCCTAGTTCTCATCTCCTAGGCACCTACAGACTTTAACAAAAGACACATTACCTCTTTTTAGCTAAAATTTGCATTCTATGATTTTGATAGGAAAATGTACATCAGAATGTTTGCCAGTTAAATAGTACATTTCAAAAAATAATGTGTGTAATCACTTGAAAATGTCGGTCATCCGATACAAAGAAGCTCACTCACATTGGTTAAGTAGTAAGTACCTTGGAATGCTTTAAACGTAAAAAAACAATCTAAACAAAACACATACTTTTTCCTAGTCTTTTTGCACATAATGTAGCATGAAATCATGATGCTTTTGAAATACTCTGTGCAGAAATATTTATTTTTTAGCAAATATTTTCTTCAAAGATTGGTATGTGGTATTGACAGTGTAATCTACTTGCACAACTAGTTTTGCAATAACCTTCTACAAATAACTGTAAATAAGAAAAATGTAAATTTCATGTAAAAATGGTTGCAAATTTTTGGTAGCTAAAAGTGTACAAGTTGTA